TACCAAGAAGACCTTCTCAAATTGCAGAAAATAGCAGACGGTCTGGAGGACAGGATGGATAAGATCCATAGATCTCGAGATGATAAGAAATTAAGGAATTTGGGCATCAACATCAGCCAAATGAATCGTCGAAACAATAAGAATCTAGTTAAACTTAGTACTATTTTTTCTGGCAAAAATAAAGTCATTAAATTATCCATTATATCTATAGATAATAATGTTACGCTCGTCTTGGAAAGAAGTTTAAACTTTGCATTTCCAAATGAGCAAGATACTTCGATGGATATACTTGTTGAGTTAATTAAGTTAACAGACAAGCTGCCAGAAGAGGCTAAGAATTGTATAGAAAGAGAAGTGATTCCTTATTTTGATGAGGTAATTATCCCAAATAAATCGTATGACTTGAATAATGTTTCTAGATATTTGCACCAAAATGGTCAGTTTGTTTTAAAGGCAGACAAAGGTGGTGCAGTGGTCATCATGGATAGGTTAAGTTATATACAAAAAATGATGGTTCATTTAAATGACTCAGAAACTTACAGACTTTTATTGAAATGAAAAGGAAACACCCAAAACCCGACACTTTCAGAACGACTAAGACCGAGTCCAGCCTCAGAGGCGACCAAGCAACTGTGCTTACTTTCTTCTGATCCTGCATAGCTCGGTTTTTCCAAGTGAACGATGCATCCTTGCCACAAGTCTAAGTTTGACCTCTCAGTTGTTCTTAATCATACCACCCCTACTGCCTGCTCACTTGTACCTCTTCTCCTCTCTCCTTGTTGCCGCATTGCCCCTGCACGTGTTTGCCCTGGAAATGACCCTTTCCGTAGCATCCTCCGACCCCGCGACTGCTGTACCATTAGCCGGATTGCCTTCACGAGACCATTCCTGGCCACAGTTTATGGGCTCCTCCCTTGTTTCTGTGTCCATCCGACTCTCCACTCTCCCCTACCCTCCAAGGCTTCCCTCCCAGACCCGCCTTCGGCCTTTTGTTTGTTCATGACCGACTCATCCGACGGTTCTAACCGGACAGCGTTTTAGTCGTATGAAGTAGAGCGAGAGGCAGAAGATGGCCGAATCGAATTTTCTTTGCTTACACCCAAGGATTATGGGAAAGCCCAGGTCTCAAAGGAGACAGTGAGAGTCTGGATTAACCTATAAATAGGCGATTTCCGGCTCAAATGGGCTTCGCGACTCTCGGTCAAAGGTCAAGTAGGCCTGGCATGCGGTAAAGTCGGCTTTGCTTGCCCCTCCTCTCCCCATCCACATCGTCGGTCCCACTTGGATGCTATGAAAAGAAGGCGACACCATCGTCGAAAGTGTAACGGGGCGTACACAGGATTTAGT